ACACACTAACAGAGTGGGGGTTGGTCACACGCTTGCCCATTGCTTGTCTGAGCTACGGCAGGAGGTGGGACACCAGGCGAGATAAGCTAATCATCCTGGTCTGGCAGGAGACAGGGATAAACTGGTGACCAGCCCCCAGCACTTTGGTTTGGATCCTCTCTGTGACGTTGCACCCTATATGATTTTATGAAAATATGCTAATAAGTGTGAATATAATGTAACTGGGATATGCTTCATGCAAAAGGTCTCTTGTAAGGTATCATTACGAAGCTTATTATCTACTGAGTGTGTTCATCCTATTTGTATGAATGTATCATTCTTGTATCTGAAACTAGAAACATGAAATATAACTCTGAGGCCCTATTGTAATTATGGAAAGTGTGGGCCATTAATGGTGGTTTGGAATCTTGATGGCTCCCATTAACCAGGACAATTGACTGCAGATGGCTCTGTTTACTTGTAAGTCTTCCTGTATAGGTTTGTGCTGGCAAGTGGGTAATGAAGTCTTACAGTGACATGTGATCATGTGACCTGAACTGGAATCCATCTTTAACCTTAGAGACTAACAAATTTATTTGGGCATAAGCTTTCGTGGGCTAGAACCCACTTCATCAGATGCATGAAGTGGAACATACAGGAGCAGGTATAAATACATGAAAGGATGGGAGTTGCCTTACCAAGTGTGAGGGCAGTCTAACGAGACAATTCACTTAACAGGATACCAAGGGAGGAAAAATAACTTTTGAAGTGGTAATGAGAGTGGTCCATTTCAGACAGTTGAGAAGACGGTGTGGGTAACAAAAAAAACTTCAAAAACAGACTCCAACATGAAACTGTAGAACTGGAATTAATTTGCAAACTGGACACCATCAGATTAGGCCTGAATAAAGACTGGGAATGGTTGGGTCATTACAAAACCTAAACCTATTTTCCCCAATACTAATTCCCCCTACTGTTACTCACACCTTCTTGTCAACTGTCTGAAATGGACCACTCTCGTTACCACTTCAAAAGTTATTTCTCCTCCCTTGATATCCTGCTGTTAATTGATTTATCTCGTTAGACTGACCTGACACTTGGTAAAGCAACCCCCATCCTTTCATGTATTTATACCTGCTCCTGTATTTTCCACTTCATGCATCTGATGAAGTGGGTTCTAACCCACGAAAGCTTCTGCCCAAATACATTTGTTAGTCTCTAAGGTGCCACGAGGACTCCTCATTGTTTCTGCTGATACAGACTAACAAGGCTACTACTCTGAAACCCATCTTTAACCTGGTGCTTTTCCTTTTAGAAGGAGGGGTGGGAACCCAGGAGGGACAAAGGATTCCTGCCTTATGCAAAAGATATATAAGTGGGTGTAACAGAAAAAAAGGGGCTGCAATCATGAGAAATCCCCTAGCTACCACCTGAGCTGGAACAAGGGCTGTACCAGGGGAAAGGATTGGGCCCAGACTAGGAAGGTATCCAGTCTGTGATAAAATCTCACCCTCAGATGTTTCAATAAGCTTCTATCTGTATTCAGTTTTCTTACTGTATTAGGTTTAGACTTGCGTGTTTTATTTTATTTTGCTTGGTAATTCACTTTGTTCTGTCTGTTACTACTTGGAACCACTTAAATCCTACTTTCTGTATTTAATAAAATCACTTTTTACTTATTAATTAACCCAGAGTATGTATTAATACCTGGGGGGGCAAACAGCTGTGCAAAAGCAAGCTATTCCGCTGGTTAGGAAAGATAGAAAATGTGGCAAAAGACCACCTTGGCTTAACCACGAGATCTTGCATGATCTAAAAAATAAAAAGGAGTCATATAAAAAATGGAAACTAGGACAGATTACAAAGGATGAATATAGGCAAACAACACAGGAATGCAGGGGCAAGATTAGAAAGGCAAAGGCACAAAATGAGCTCAAACTAGCTAAGGGAATAAAGGGGAACAAGAAGACTTTTTATCAATACATTAGAACCAAGAGGAAGACCAAAGACAGGGTAGGCCCACTGCTTAGTGAAGAGGGAGAAACAGTAACAGGAAACTTGGAAATGGCAGAGATGCTTAATGACTTCTTTGTTTCGGTCTTCACCGAGAAGTCTGAAGGAATGCCTAACCTAGTGAATGCTAATGGGAAGGGGGTAGGTTTAGCAGATAAAATAAAAAAAGAACAAGTTAAAAATCACTTAGAAAAGTTAGATGCCTGCAAGTCACCAGGGCCTGATGAAATGCATCCTAGAATACTCAAGGAGCTAATAGAGGAGGTATCTGAGCCTCTAGCTATTATCTTTGGAAAATCATGGGAGACGGGAGAGATTCCAGAAGACTGGAAAAGGGCGAATATAGTGCCCATCTATAAAAAGGGAAATAAAAACAACCCAGGAAACTACAGACCAGTTAGTTTAACTTCTGTGCCAGGGAAGATAATGGAGCAAGTAATTAAGGAAATCATCTGCAAACACTTGGAAGGTGGTAAGGTGATAGGGAACAGCCAGCATGGATTTGTAAAGAACAAATCATGTCAAACCAATCTGATAGCTTTCTTCGATAGGATAACAAGTCTTGTGGATAAGGGAGAAGCTGTGGATGTGGTATACCTAGACTTTAGTAAGGCATTTGATACGGTTTCGCATGATATTCTTATCGATAAACTAGGCAAATACAATTTAGATGGGGCTACTATAAGGTGGGTGCATAACTGGCTGGATAACCGTACTCAGAGAGTTGTTATTAATGGTTCCCAATCCTGCTGGAAAGGCATAACGAGTGGGGTTCCGCAGGGGTCTGTTTTGGGACCGGCTCTGTTCAATATCTTCATTAACGACTTAGATATTGGTATAGAAAGTACGATTATTAAGTTTGCGGATGATACCAAACTGGGAGGGATTGCAACTGCTTTGGAGGACAGGGTCATAATTCAAAATGATCTGGACAAATTGGAGAAATGGTCTGAGTTAAACAGGATGAAGTTTAACAAAGACAAATGCAAAGTGCTCCACTTAGGAAGAAAAAATCAGTTTCACACATACAAAATGGGAAGAGACTGTCTAGGAAGGAGTACGGCAGAAAGGGATCTAGGGGTTATAGTGGACCACAAGCTAAATATGAGTCAACAGTGTGATGCTGTTGCAAAAAAAGCAAACGTGATTCTGGGATGTATTAACAGGTGTGTTGTGAGCAAGACACGAGAAGTCATTCTTCCGCTCTACTCTGCTCTGGTTAGGCCTCAGCTGGAGTATTGTGTCCAGTTCTGGGCACCGCATTTCAAGAAAGATGTGGAGAAATTGGAAAGGGTCCAGAGAAGAGCAACAAGAATGATTAAAGGTCTTGAGAACATGACCTATGAAGGAAGGCTGAAAGAATTGGGTTTGTTTAGTTTGGAAAAGAGAAGACTGAGAGGGGACATGATAGCAGTTTTCAGGTATCTAAAAGGGTGTCATAAGGAGGAGGGAGAAAACTTGTTCACCTTAGCCTCTGAGGATAGAACAAGAAGCAATGGGCTTAAACTGCAGCAAGGGAGGTCTAGGTTGGACATTAGGAAAAAGTTCCTAACTGTCAGGATGGTTAAACACTGGAATAAATTGCCTAGGGAGGTTGTGGAATCTCCATCTCTGGAGATATTTAAGAGTAGGTTAGATAAATGTCTATCAGGGATGGTCTAGACAGTATTTGGTCCTGCCATGCGGGCAGGGGACTGGACTCGATGACCTCTCGAGGTCCCTTCCAGTCCTAGAATCTATGAATCTATATCTCTCTATCAGTGTTATAGAGGGTGGACAATTTATGAATTGTAAAACGGATTTATTTGGGGTTTGGACCCCATTGGGAGCTGGGCATCTGAGTGTTGGAGACAGGAACACTTCTTAAGCTGTTTTCAGTTAAGCCTGCAGCGTTTGGGGGATGTGGTTCAGACCTGGGTCTGGGTTTGTAGCAGGGTAGCATGTCTGGCTCAAACTGGCAAGGTTCTGGAGTCCCAAGCGGCCAGGGAAAACGGGTTAGAAGTAGTCTCAGCACATCAGTTGGCAGTCCCAAAGGGGTTTCTGTGATCCAACCCATCACACCCTCCCACTCACCTCTATAAGCCTTGCACTTACACAGGTAGCACCCCACACTCTGCGGGTTCAAATCCCATCAAATTCAAAGGCAACACATGCAAGAAAATCAACGCTTTTTTTAATGCCACATACAGTTAACCTGTGGAACTCACTGCCACAGGGTGTCACCGAGGTCAGGAGCCACTGGCCATTCAAAAAAGGTGGACACACATCCAGGGCCCGTTTCCCCATCTCTGTACTTGAGGCAAGGACGGCAGGAGGTGGACTTAAGCTCCAATGCACTCTCTAGGCCCTGCCTGGCCCCTCAGGGAGACCTCAGGGGTGATCTAACTGCTGCTCCACGTCCTAAGGGCCCGATACCTACAGCACACAGTGGATTCCAGCTCCACCCTCTATCCGCCCCCTATAGGCCTGAGGGGGACGGGGGGCAGAGAATAGCCATAGCGCAGTGCTATCTGGCCATGCCCCTGGTCCACCCCCTATGGGCCCTCGTGGGGGCGGGGAATAGCCACAGTGCAGTGCTCTCTGGCCGCGCCCTGAGTCGCCTCTACACAGGAGGTTGAGAGCAGGGCCCTTATGCCGGCTCCACAGTATCCAGGGAGCCCCCTACAAGGGAGGTGGGGGGCTGGATTCCCAGGGGGCTGGGTGTGCCCACCTCAGGCCCAAGGAGACGTGCCTCTGCATAGACCCCAGCTGGACGTCCCCCGAGTCTCAGCAACAGCTGTGGGCCACAGTGGACTCATACGCGCCCACGGCATTTGTCCACGGGCACTCCAGCGGGGCACCGTGCCCTGCGGTAAGGATACCAGGTAGTGAGGGTATCCAGGTGCCCTGTGCGCCATGCCCCACCCCCAACACCCCCTTCCCTCCATCCCTAGTGGTTCAGTGACGGCCCTCTGCCCAAGACAGGGAAAGTCTGAAGGAGTCCAGAACCCGGCTCCTCTCTCCCGGCCCCTGGTCCAGCAGGCGGGAAGGGCCCCGAGTTTGATTTTAGCAACAGCTCTCCGAGATCTTCTTGTCCCCCGGCTCCCTGGCACTGGGGAGCAGCTCCTTGCCCCCCAGCCTGCCCGCCGGCTGCGTCTGGACCGGGATGTAGCAGTAGGATTTGCTGCCCGTGGTACTGGCGTAGGGGCGGCGCTGCTGCTGCTGCAGCTGGGAGCCGCCCGTGGAGTTCTCCGAGCTACAGTTGGACGCCGCCTCTGCTCCCCTCTTCCCCGGGGGGCTGGGGCGCCGGGGGCAGCCCACCTCAGAGGCCTTGCCCTGCTGGCAGCGGCAGGACGGCCCGTGGCTGCAGCTGTGGCCGGGCTTCTCCAGCAGGTTCGCGCCCAGCTGGCACCTCTGCCACTTCCTCCGGATCTCAGACTGGACCTGAAGCAGGGCAGAGAAAAGGAGGCGGGGGGGTCAAGTGATGCCCAGGGGACGGGGTGAGACCCTTGGTTCATGGGGGGGCAGGGGGAAGCCATAGCAGTGCAAGAGGCTTCACACAAGCCAGCGGGGGGGTTAAATGATGGTGTGATATTGGTATCCCATTGTGTCTTGTAAATGGAGAGAGAGAGAGGGAGCTGTATGCAAAGAAAGGTGTTCACTATCAACGGGGCAGATCCCAGCTGATGTCAATGGGCCGTAGCTCCATTGGAGTCAACGAGCCAGATCCCAGCTGGTGTCAATGGGCCGTAGCTCCATTGGAGTCAACGGGCCAGATCCCAGCTGGGGTCAATGGGCCGTAGCTCCATTGGAGTCAACGGGCCAGATCCCTGCTGGTGTCAATGGGCAGAGCTCCCTTGAAGTTTACACCAGCAGAAGATCCGGCCTGAATAGATCCACTCCAGCCCTGCAAAGGGGTCATCACTGAGATGTAGCATCAGCTGAGCCTTGGCCATCAGGCCCCTCCACCCCTCCCCGATAAATAATAACGCATTAGCTGCTGTGCAATGCCTTGCCTCTACTCCCCAGCCCGGCTCTGCTGCCAGCGCCCCGTGGCATGCCTGCCCCGCGTGATCTCTCACCCACCACTTTCTGGGAAGGGCGCTGGCCCCCACCCTTTCGCCTGGGAGCCAGCACTGCGGCGTGTGAAGGGGAATCAGAAACTGCTCTGTCAGCTCCTGTTGGTGGTGGTGGTGGGGAACCTACCTCCTTGTTGACAAAGCAGTAGAGGATGCTCACCAGAAGACCCTGCAAGACAAGAGCAGATAAAGGCAGGGCTGGGCCCAGGTCCCCTGGGACACACCAGGGGTGGAGAGGTGGGGTGAAGCTGCCTTTCCGGAGGCTCCATGCCCAGGCCGGATTCCACGGCTGCTCGGCGTGGAGCTGCCCTCGGCCAGCTCCCTGCTCAGCCGGCGGCACCACACCTGTGCCTCGCAGGCCTCTGGGTGCCAGGGGGCTGACCCTACAGCATCCCACGTGGCTTGAGTGGGGGATGCTGGGGAACACGTCTCTGTCCAACCCAATAGCAGGCACCTGCAAACAATCCCCAGAGCTGAAGCCCAGCCCCTGCGTAGGCCGGTCCCTGTTCCCTCACCCCCATTCCTCCGGGGCTGGATGGCCCCGGCACCCCTCTGCCCCAGCCCCCACCCCCCAGCCCTGGGGGTGCCCGGCTCTGCTCCCTACCTGGAAGGAGCTGAGGAAGAGCTCAAAGAAGAGCTTGATGTAGCGCAGCGTCCCCTGGGCCTGCTCCTCCGTCACCAGGGCAAACACCACCTCATGGATGCCCAGCAGCGGGATCAGGGTCAGCGTCGACTTGGCCAGCCTGGGAGAGAGCAACAGGGAAGCGGGGGGTGAATTGCCCCCCTGCCAAGCCCCACAGTCGTCCCACGGGGCAGGTCAGCTCCGAGCTGGCCGCAGCCCAGAGCCCAGCCAGACCGCACGGCCCTCCGAGGCAATGCTAAGGGAACCAGCCGCAGGGTGTGGGCCTCCCCCAGCGGGGCTGGGATCCCAGCCTGGCGTCTTCCCAGCCCCCCAGGTGGCAGGGCCAGTTCTCAGACCGCTCAGTGCATCCGGCTGATGCTCCGGGTGTCCACGGTGTCATGGGATAGTCCCTGGCCTCAGCTGGGGCACGGACCAGGCTTTCTGCGTCTTGGCCATGAGATCGAACTTCCAGCAGCACAGCGCCCCCTGCCGAGCCCCCACCCGGCTCCCTGCAGCCCCGCACCCCCCGCCCGGCTCCCTGCAGCCCAGCGCCCCCCACTGAGCTCCCACCCCGCTCCCTGCAGCCCAGCGCCCCCCGCCGAACACCCACCCGGCTCCCTGCAGTCCAGCGCCCCCTACTGAGCCCCCACCCAGCTCCCTGCCGCACAGCGCCCCCTGCTGAGCCCCCGCCCCGCTCCCTGCAGCCTAGAGCCCCCTGCCGAGCCCCCACCCTGCTCCCTGCAACCCAGCGCCCCCTGCTGAGCTCCCGCCCCGCCCCGCTCCCTGCAGCTCAGCACCACACTAGGGCATAAGGTCAGCACTGACTGTGAAGGGAGAGCACCCCGTACAGAGCTCCTGCCCCATGCCCTGCAGCACAGCGCCCCCTAGTGCCCCTCTGGTGCCAGCACTGACTGCCAGGGAAGAGTGCTGTGACACTCTGTACCTCCAAGTAGCACCCTGGAGCCCCCATATTCACCATGGGGAGATGATGACGATGTGTTTTGTGCAACGCCTTGTGAGGTATCATTTTAAAAGTCTTGATCTGTTGAACATGCGTCTCCTGTTGGGTTGTGTGTCCTAGCGGATGGGAAGTTAGGAAGTTGTGCTATGTGTGTGTTACTGAAATACGGTGTGAGGTTGGGAACGCCCACAGCTGGCCTTTCAGTGACAACAAAGGAGCATCTATCCCTGGCCAGACAGGTGTTAATGGCCCATCAGGAAGAATCCACTCTCCCAAAAGCTCCTGAGAAAGGGCATGTTCACCAGTCAGGACCAGATTAACGCCCAGGGCCTCGGGCTAAGGGGGGCCCCGCAAACATAAATCCATAATTATAGACAATTCAGTGGTCACCAACCCGTCGATCGCGATCGACTGGTCGATCCTGGAGCCTCTGCCAGTCGATCGCGATCTCCAGGCCGCTAAAAGTCCAGCGGCGCAGCAGGAGTCAGGCAGGCTGCCTGCATGCCGTGGCCCCACACCGCTCCCGGAAGGGGCTGGCTGCTGGCACGTCTCTGTGGCCCCTGGCGGGGCGGCGGAGGCGATGTCGTGCGCTGCCCCCACCCCCTGCACCGTCCCCGCAGCTACCATTGGCCGGTTCCCGACCAATGGGAGCTGCGGGGGTGGCACTTGCGGGCGCGGGCAGCGCACGGAGACCCGCTGTTAGGGTGACCAGACAGCAAGCGTGAAAAATCGGGACGGGGGTGGGGGGTAATAGGAGCCTATATAAGAAAAAGACCCAAAAATCAGGACTGTCCCTATAAAATCGGGACATCTGGTCACCCTACTCGCTGTCTCCCTCCCCCAAGGGGCGTGCAGAGACATGCCAGCAGCGGCGTGGGGCCACAGCATGCTGGCAGCCTGCCTGAGCCCTGCTGCGCCGCCGGCCAGGAGCCACCTGTGGTAAGCGCCTCCCGGCCGGAGCCTATACCTCGCACCCCCTCCTGCACCCCAACCCCCTGCCCCAGGTCAGAATCCCCTCCTGTACCAAATCCCTCCCAGAGCCCGCACCCCTCACCCTCTCCTGCACCCCAACACTCTGCCCCAGCCTGGAGCCCCCTCCTGCACCCAAACTCCCTCCCAGAAAGAAACGAATATATCAGCTGTTCTAAGGTAAGAAGTAGGCTATTTTGAATTAACTTAACTATATTCTACATGTTTTAAGACTGAAATGTAACCACAGAATGGCTTTATGTTAATTAAAAGGCAAGTTTAGTATAGCGTTAATAGCCTCGATGTCATAATTGTCATCATTTTCTTTTAAATTAGGAAAAAGACTTGTATACAGGGGCCCCACAAAATCTAATAGCCCCGCACCCACAGGAGAGTTAATCCGGCCCTGACGCCAGTGGTTCTCAACCAGGGGCACGGGTACTCCTGGGGGCACACAGAGCTTTCCAGGGGGTACATCAACTCATCTAGATGTTTGCCTAGCTTTACAACAGGCTACATTAAAAGCGCTAGCAAAGTCAGTACCAACTACAATTTCATACAGATGATGGACTGGTTTATACCGCTCTATGTCATACACACTGAAATGTAAGTACAATATTTATATTCCAACTGATGTATTTGATAATTGTATGGTAATAATGAGAAAGTCAGTGATTGGTCAGTATTAGTGCGCTGTGACACTGCTCTATTTTTAGGTCTGAATTTGTAAGCAAGTCGCTTTTCAGTGAGGTGAAACTTGGGGTACGCAAGACCAATCAGACTCCTGAAAGGGGTACAGTTGACTGGAAAGGTTGAGAACTACCGAGGTACGCACTGGAGACTGTCTGACCCCCATGTCACAGCAAGGAGCGTTCTAGCAGATGGAAGAAAGTATAAAAGAGGGACAGTGACATCATTGGGTGGGAGGGAGGGATAGCTCAGTGGTTTGAGCATTGGCTTCCTAAACCCAGGGTTGTAAATTCAATCCTTGAGGGGGGGCCATTTAAGGATTTGGGGCAAAAATCTGCCTGGGGATTGATTGGTCCTGCTTTGAGCAGGGGGTTGGACTAGATGACTTCCTGAGGTCCTTTCCAACCCTGACATTCTATGATCACTTGGCCTCTTCCCCTGATCTCAACATCTGGAAGACAAAGACTTTGAACTGGGGAGATTGGTCCCAGGCTGGAAGGGAACCCAGTCTTTGTACTGAGGAGCTGAAACATCTGTTAGGGTTGAATCAAGAGACCCTGCTTGATTCAAATCCCACATAGTTTGTTGAATTTAGACTGTGGTTTCTCTTTATTTCTTATGTAACCAACTTGGGTCTCTCTGCCTGCTACCTAGAATCATTTAAAATCTGTCTTTGTGGAGTTAATAAATCTGTTTTCTATTTTACCTAGAACAGTGTGCTCTCGGCTGAAGTACTTGGGGAATCTCAGCTCAGATTACAAAAGCTGATGCATGGCCACTTCCCTTTGAGCAAGTGGTGAACTAATTAATGAGTTTGCACGTTCCAAGGGCATCTTGAGCAGCGTATGCTGGTATATTTCTGGGGTGGCAGGCTGGGGGCTGGGGTGACTGGCTGGTGCCTCTCTCTGTAGGATTCATGAATGGCTCAGGGAGCATTCATGCAGTTTGGCTGGGTGTAGGCTCCACAGGCTGGTGGCTGAGCGATCACGGCGCCTGGAGGGGTTTTGCTGTTTGTCACTGGCATAGCTTTGTGTGAGACAGCGCTGGGTGGAGAGTTAAGGGGGCACAGCGGTCCCACAGTCCCAGGTTGTACCCCGGGGATCATAGGCGCCAACTTCCCCTCTGCCCTGTGGGTGCTCAACCCCCCTGCCCCTAACCCCCCCGGCTCCTGCACCACCCTTGCCCCCCCCAATTCCATCCCCTTCCCCCAAGTCCCTGCCCCTGCCCCGCCTCTTTACCACCTTCTCCCCCAAGTGCGCCGTGTCCCCACTTCTCCCCCTCCCTCCCTCCCTCCCTCCCGGAAAGTCCTAAGCACCGCCAAACAACTGTTAGGCTGCGGGTGGGAAGCGCTGGGAGGGGGAGGAGGAGGCAAGGAGGGGGTGGGGACAGGGGGAGCTTGACAGCAGGTGGGTGCGGAGCACCCGCTAATTTTTCCCCGTGGGTGTTGCAGCCCCTCAGCACCCATGGAGTCGGCGCCTTTGCTGGAGATCCCATCACAAATGCCCCCTTCTGAGCTCCCACCCCACCCTGCAGCCCAGCACCTCCTATGCCCCATTGGAGCCCTGGGATCAGTACTGACTGCGAGGGGAGAGCGCCCTCTAGGGAGCCCCCACCCCACCTTGCAGCACAGCGCCCCCTAGTGCCCCACTGGGACATTGAGGCCAGCACTGAGTGTCGGAGAAGAGCGCCCCGAGTGAGCCCCTGCCCTGTTCCCTGGATTTGTCCCACTGGAAGTGCTACCACCACACTAAGTTTGCCAGATCTAAGAGCCAGAGTCAATGCTGCTGCAGGGAGCAGGGGCTCCCAGCTGGGGGTGCCGCGAGGGGTAGCCCCTGCCTACCTGAACTTATAGTCCGTGTAGCGCATCTGGTGAGCCCGGAGTTTGGAGACCAGGATCTTAATGATACGGAGGAATATGACAAAATTAACCTGGGGGAGAGAGAGTAAGTTACCCATGGGGAGGTCAGGGGGCACCACTCCCCACTGGTACCCTCTGCCCTGGGGATGGGCTGGGAGCCCCTGCAGCAGGGCTGGTGTTTACATAGGGGAGGGAGAGTGGTGCTTTATACATGGGGAGGAGAAAGCATCACCCCCCGGTGCCAGCGCTCCCACCCTGCTCCCCACAGCACCCCCTGCTGGGTGAGAGCAGGACTGGCGTAGCTGGGAGCTCCCCCACAGCCAGCGCCTGCTCCCCACAGCACCCCCTGCTGGGTGAGACTGGGAATGGAGAAGCCAGAAATTCCCCCCACAGCCAGCGCCCTCCCCTCCCCACAGCGCCAAGACCAGTACTGGAGTAGCCGGGAGCTTCCCCCACAGCCAGTGCCCG